AAAAGTGGGAGAGTAATCACCACACTCCTGAATAGAAATGGGAACTGAATATTGGATTCTTAAATGACCAAAATTTATATCACCTACTACTGAAAAACAAAGATTAAAAATCTAGTGTAGAGGTTAGACTCTTTGAAATACAATATTTAAAAACAAAAACAAAAAAAAAAATTTAGAAATGTATATGAAGTTTGATTTAAAAATAGGGTTTCTCTCTCTCTCTTTTTTTTTTTTTGGCAAGGTTATAGTGAAATGAAAATGAAAATTAAGGAATAATAGAGGAGTATTAGAGGACTTTAAAATAGGAGAGAAAAACAAGAAAAAGAAAAAAAAATAAAAAAATTTTTTTTTTCCCTAATTAAAAAAATCGTAAAAATATATGAAAATGAAAGTTGAGGAGTAATGGGGGAGTAATAGGGAATTTTAAAAGAAAATAAAAGAGAAAAAATTAAAAAAAAAAAAAGATAGAAAAAAAATTTTTTTTTTTTAAATTAAAAAAAAAAAAAAATATATATATCTAGGAATTTCTCTGGAGTTGTTGCAGTCAGCGTAGGTTCAGTTCAATTTCAGATAGCTCCTCTTTCCAGCTTACACTTCTCGATATCTGTAGGCCCCTTCTGGTGTAGTCGGTGTTACCTTCAGGGATTTTAGTCTGTTGCACCAGTCCTTTCTGAAGCGGTTCCCTTTGTTTATTTGGCTTCTGTTTGCTTCTCTTCGGTGTCTAATTTACGCCCTGACACAGGCGGGCGGAGGTGATCTTTTATTTAGGTTCTCTAGCTCAGTTCAGTCCTGCTACGGGGAGGGCGGGGCGCTGCAGACAGACACCGCTCTGTGTGGATAGCACTCACCGTGTTCCGGCCACACTGGGTTTGCCCCGCTCACAGGTGTCAGTGCTTTTGCCGTCTACACTGCTCAGGCTCCCGGCTGCTCTATATGGAGCGGGCCCTGCGTTGAGTGCGGTTCCAGATTTCGGGTACTCCACAAAAGCGCGGATTCGGTTGCGCCTGCGTTTTGTGCCTTCCCCGGCCTGAGCGGTTCAGGCAGCCAGAGGCTTGGGCGTACTCTCCCCGGATGCGGCGCGCCTTTTCCCTCCGCGGCGGGCAGCTCAGGCAGCCAGAGGCTTGGGCGCACTCTCCCCGGAGGTGGCGCTCCTTTTCCCTCCGCGGCGGGCAGCCCAGGCAGCCAGAGGCTTGGGCGCACTCTCCCCGGGGGTGGCGCTCCTTTTCCCTCCGCGGCGAGCGGCCCAGGCAGCCAGAGGCTTGGGCGCACTCTCCCCGGAGGTGGCGCGCCTTTTCCCTCCGCGTCGAGCGGCCCAGGCAGCCAGAGGCTTGGGCGTACTCTCCCCGGGTACGGCGCGCTTTTTCCCTCCGCGGCCCCAGCGCGCGCCGCCAGTCGGGTCTCAGGAAGTCTTTAGACAGGAACCGGGGGCCTGTTTGCACGGTGGGAGGGGGTGGCTTCTCAGGGGCTGAGTTTGCCCTTTTCCCCTACCCCCTGCCTCCAACCTCCAGCGGGGATGGGCCGGCTCTTCTCTGGACTTTCTCAGTCCCTTTGTTTTGCGAACCGCCGGCAGTGTGTTCGGGCCCTAAGCAACGCAGCCCGCTCCTCTCCGTCCCGCCCCCGCTTGTTGCTGGCGGGTACGGGCGTCTGGGGTACTTTTCTGCTGGGAGTTGCTTTTAGGCACGTAATCTGTGGGCCTTGTTTAATTTTTCCTCCCAGTTAGATTGCCGAAAACTTCCCCCAGTCCCGCCAGTGCGAGGGTTTCCTGGTGATTGGAAACTTCCTCTATTAAGACTCCCTTCCCGGGACGGGTCTCCGTCCATAGCTCTTTTGACTCCCTTTTTATCTTTTATATTTTGTCCTACCTCCCTTCGAAGACAATGGGCTGCTTTTCTGGGCGCCTGATGTCCTCTGCTAGCGATCGGAAGTTGTTTTGTGCAATTTGCTCAGCATTCAAATGGTCTTTCGATGAATTTGTAGGAGAGAAAGTGGTCTCCCTGTCCTATTCCTCCGCCATCTTGGCTCCTCCCTCTAAATACTATTGTTTTTTAAACAAATAGCATGGATTACTGACTCTCAAGGTAGAGCTAAATAGACTGAAAAGTAAAGAATCTAACATTTAGGACAGGCCTGTAGTTACTGATTTCTTAATTGGAATCAATCTTAGAGTTTAGTGACTGCCTCCTATAAATTCACCTTGTTTGTTAAAATATATATTATCTCCATCTAATCCACATCTGAATTTCTATTTCTGTCTGTGATGAGAGGAATTAGTATCAAACCAAGGCTCCATATCAAGAGCTTCCCTCTTAGCTCAGTTGGCAAAGAATCTGCCTGCAATGTAGGAGACCCTGGTTCAATCCCTGGGTTGGGAGGATTCCCTGGAGAAGGAAATGGCAACCCACTCAAGTATTCTTGCCTAGCGAATCCCATTGACAGAGGAGCCTGGCAGGCTTCAGTTCATAGGGTCGCAGGAGTCGGACAGGAGTTAGCAACTACACCGCCACCAAGGCTCCTTACTAGACTAGGGAGAAAGTAGAGTTTGAAGGCATTGTAGAGCTTCTGAGTCCATCAGGACTTCAGGAGTAAAGATTCAAGAGAGAAGAGAGAGAGAGATGCTCTGTGCTGGGTTACCTCTTGAAATATTTTCCACCTCTTAAGCTCTTTGGGATAAGATAAAATTGAGCAGTGTATGAGAGGTGAGCAAAATAAACTTGAGGGAGTTGAGTGGAGCTTTCAGTAGATTTTGTTGTTGTTATTTTTGTCCTAGGTTTGCAGCTGGCATTGTTTGAAAGGCCACACAGTAGGAGTGGAAACAAACAGAAGTAGGCCAGTTTTTACTGTATCTGAAACTCAGTCTCAAACCAGCTGTGTTTCTAGTTGGACTGGGGTGGTCTGCTCTTACTCTGGAAGAAAGAAAGTGAAGTCGCTCAGTCGTGTCCAACTCTTTTGCCACCACCCCATAGACTGTAGCCTACCAGGCTCCTCCCTTGGGATTTTCCAGGCAAGAATACTGGAGTGGGTTGCCATTTCCTTCTCCAGAGGATCTTCGCCACCCAGGGATCGAACCCAGGTCTCCCACATTGTTAGCAGACGCTTTACCGTCTGAGCCATCAGGGAAGTCTGGAAGAGCAGTTGAAAAAAAATTAAATCCTTTCTGGAAGAAGAAAACATCATCCAGGGCTTCTACATTTTTTCCTAAGTATTTTCATGTAGTCATTCACATACAATGTGTAGTATTCAGTAAAAGAAATTACTAGGCATGCAATAGGACCAGCAGAAGAAAACCAGCAGTAGAAACAGGTTATACAGATTATCCATAGGTTGTGTAATTCCGGAGCTATAGACAAGATCTTTAAAATACTGTAACTAACCTAGTCATGAAAATAGACAGCATGGTGAAGAAGTTCACTGAAGAACTTGAATCTATAGAAAGGAATCAGTAAAGAATAAAGGACTGAAAATAGAGCAACTGAAATTAAAAACCCAACAGATCAGTTTAACTGTAGTTTAGACACAGCTGAAAAGAGGATCAGTCAAATGGAAGATAGTAGAAAATATTCAGCAACAGTAATGTATCTTTAAGAATGTAAAACAGAATTGGTAAAACATAATATTACTCACACATTTGTATTTGATACCCTCCCCCGAGCCTTTGAGCAGACAAAAATTATTCATTATAAATACCTTATGTAGCTTGTTTAGCATACTTAGCTACTTGGAGTAAAGCCCTGGAATGAAAAAGTAAGCAAAATACTTACCAATTCAAAATAGATACCCAGAGCTAGATGGTTAAACAGGTATTTTAACATATTTGTGTTAGAAGATTCTTTCTTTTAGTTGGGCTAATGGTTTTAATATACTTGGTAATCTGGTAAACTGGTTTAGTTGCTAAGTCTTCTGTCCAACTCTTCAGACCCTATGGACTGTAGCCTGCCAGGCTCTGTCCATGGGATTCTCCAGGCAAGAATACTGGAGTGAGTTGCCATTTCCTTCTCCAACAATTAAGACTGTAAATTAGAAAAGAAGTTATGGGTAAATAATTGAGGACTTGATTTTGGCAACCAGCACCTTGTTTAATCATATCTAAGACTCCACTATGAACTGTACCATTGGTATATGTACTACTAAGAAAAGAGAAAGCTGTCAATTGTAATTAATTGTGATACATCATGATTTCAGAGATGTTAAAATGTGGGGGGGAAGGTAAATGGTAATCTTAGTTTTAAATCTCAGTTATGTCATTGTTTGCCTTCAGTCAAGGAACTTCTTTCGGCCTGTTTGCTTATTTGTGAAATTGGGATAGTATAGTCTACTCTTTAGAATTAGGAAGACTAAATGAATTAAAAGATACAAATAGTCTTACGGAGTAGGCATTTTGAAACCTGTTAATTAGACTTTCATTTTTTTCTTTCTAAAATTTGGCATTGTTATGATAATAGGAAGAGACTCCTGACAACTGATGTGATGTGGTAGGGGAACAGAACCCCAATATATTGGCTAAATAAGAACTTAAAAAAGAAAATTTCTGCTGGCGCTGTTTAATAAATTGTGGGACTTCATTCTTTATTCTCCCCCTGCTTCATTGCTTTCACCTGTCTTATCTCCTCAGTTGTATCTAAAGATATCACTGATTCCAATACAATGATTGATATTTATAATGATGGAACTGGCATATCAAAATAATATATTTTCACTAAAGTGACTTTTAGAGAGTTCATTTTAGGAAAATTTCTAGTACTTCTAAGTTTAATTGTTATGGTTAAAATCTCAATGTTTAGTTTTGTGGAATTCTTGCTCTTCTGATGATGCTATATACATATGGCATTAATCAAAATGAATGGATCTTTTTAAGACGCTAGATTTTGTGATGTTTCATGGACATGAGAATTCTTACTTTATACTTATTTTGAAGATTCCCAATAAGCCCAGAAAAACATTGTTCTTGAGCAGTAAGATATTCATAGCTTTACTCTTGTGTTCATTCTGTTCTTTTCTTTCAGGATTTTTCAAGTCACATTCAGTTGATAGGATGAAAAAGTTTAAGAGAAGGCTATCCCTCACGCTTCGAGGAAGCCAGACTATTGATGAATCATTGTCTGAATTGGCTGAGCAAATGACTATTGAAGAAAACAGCAGCAAAGATAATGGTAAATATTTGGGTGAGTGGGGTGAGAAGAAGAGATGCTTCTCCCTTGAATTGCTTTATAAATCCAGTGTACCTTTACTTTCCTGGTTAGTTCCTGGTAGCTTCCTTTTGTTTATTTATTTGCCTCCTTCCCTAGTTCAATAACTTTTGCTTGCTTACTGGAATGTTCCATTCTTACTTAACAGTGTACTCTACCTGGACTCTAACACTGATGAATTCTATATCCTATTTATCTTTCCATTTTTCAGTGGTTCTTGAATAACAATTACTTTGTATAGTAATGTCATAGTTAAGTACCTACTTTTAAATTAACAGTTAAATATTTTTGTTATTCTTATAACTAAAGTTAATACAGCTTAGAAGTGCATAGTAAGTTTGTGAAATTCCAGGGAATTCCCTGGCTGTCCAGTGGTTGAGACTTAGCACTTTCACTGCCAAGGTCTCAGGTTCTGTCAGGGAACTAAGATCCCACATGCTGCATGGTGCGTCCAGAAAAAAAAGTTTGTGAAATTTCTGTTTGATCACAGATTTATAACATTATGTATGCATATTGACTGTTCACATAGACCACAAGGTTTATCACATGACTGAATCACACTATTTTCTTATTTTATATTGACTAAAGAATCTGTCCATAGTGTTGAGCTCTTATAGTAAGACAGGCTTATAATATTCCACGAGTTTGGCAGTTCTTTTTGTAGTGTAGTTAGTACACAGATGTTAATTTAAAATAAAAAGGATTTGTTAAATTGAATGCATTATAATGCAAAATCCTGATGAAATTATAGAATAAGGCTACATATTCAAAACTGAAATAGCCCTAGGGATGTCATAATAATAACCAGGAAGGAGCTTACAGGAATGGCTGCCCGTGTGTCATAATGTGCAGATTCTCTGGAAAGGCTTCCTTGCCTCTGCCTGAAACTTTCCTGTTAAGAGATTTGTGGCAGTGGGTGGACTCATGAATTTCTGTACCCACTCTGGCTGAAATGTAAATATCCTTGTGAGAGAGGGAAAGGTATAATGAAAAGCGCTCTGGATGTTAAGTTAAAAGTTATGGATTGGAATTTGGAATATACATGTATACACTTAATAGTTGTATGACTCTGAGTAAGTAATTTATCGTACCCAAGCTTCAGTTTATACTGTTTTCCTCAGAGTGTCATTATTTTACTCAAGGTTATCTGGCTCATAATATGGGAGGGGAAACATAGATGAGTTGGGTAGAAAATTTAATAATTTTGGTACAATTTACTTACATGTAGGAGGGAAATATTTTACATTTGAGATTTGAATCAAATCTCAAAGCTGTTGTTATTATTATGTCTTCTACTCCTCTTGCCAGGAGAAAAATCCTTAAATCTCTCTGATCTCCTTGAATTCTTGATATTAATTAAGCCCTGTATGTTCATTCTTGGGCTTCATGAGTATTGCTAGCTATCTGCCAGTGATACTCAGAAGTAAAGTAGGCACAGAATACTCTTCGAGGATGGTTTCTGGGACACATTCTTGATAGGACTTTAACTACAAGACAAAAGCATCTTCTTTAAAAAGGAAGTGTGAGTCAACGAAAGTGTACATATTTTTTAGAGAGCTAATTAATGTTTTTGATTCATGGCATAGTTTCTGGAATACTTCTGTATTAACTGTCTTAAAACACGCTTAATTTATAGTGAATGGTGAAATATTTTAAAAAATTTTGAAGTAGAATATAGCTTATTAAAATTTACTTTTAATCTATAGTCACATTAAAATTAATAAAGAGGAAAATGGAAACTACTGAGTTTCCTCTTTAAGTTTCTCAAATTACTTGAAGTCATACTTGAAGGCGTCATAGTAGGCATTGATTGCTCTCCAGCTGCAGAGGTTGCTGGTAGCACAGACTATCTCTGAATTATAATCTGTTTATTCCCTGTGTGTGAAGAACGCGGGGCAGCTTTCACAAAGATTCAGTGCCTTTTTGGTAATCTATCAAAGCTTGATAGCTGGTTCCAACATACCCTTTCTTTATGGAATTTATCTTAGAGGGTAAAAGGCTCCTACGGTAAGTAACACATACAGTCTGTCTGAATATGGTTTAACAAATGAGAAGAGAGAGACTATACTTTTTTAATGATCTCCTCACATGCTATATATAACCAGTTTGTGAAACAAGTGATCTTTGTCTAACCATATAGAGGCAATGCTAACTTGAGGAGGAAGAATATAGTTTATAAATTTCCTAAGTAAACTACCTTTGAACCAATTTTTGATCTCTTGTCTCTTATTCAGTCACTTGTACCAACAGAATACTCTCACTCTTGCATTGTATATAGGCAAGTGACTCTGTGCATACCCTAGAATAAAATGAATGAGAAAGTACACATAAACGGAGATAATACTCAAAATCTTAGAAAAACTGTAATGCATATGATAAATTTAGCATAATGCCTTAAAGATTTCCACTACTTTTAAGATATAGAATATTATTATCCTACTGAACTGTCTTAGTTAATTGCTGTCATAATCTTGAAATATTTGAGTAATTGACCTCATCTAGTCCTTTGACTTCAGCTACTATGTACATGCTGACTACACCTAAATTTGTCTCTCTATTCAGGATTTTTGTCTGGATCTTTAGATTCATTTCCAAATGCTTTATTTGGCTTCTTCACATAGATGTTTAATAAGAATCTTAAACTTAAAATGACCAGACAAAAATCTTGATTTCCTTCCCCCCAAATCAGCCTCTTCTCCAGCTTTCCTCACTTAACTAAACCACTTACAGCTAAAAATCCAGGAATTATCCCTGATTCTTTCCGCTCTTTTAGCTTTCTGTTCTCCATTTCTCCCCTCCTCTGCCATTGTAGTTGCCTGTATATTTACTGCATACCTAGCTTTCAAAAACTGTTAATGGTAGTCATTTGTGTACTAGTAAGTGAAATATGTTTTTGCCCCCATTCATTATTAAGTCATTGTTCATTTTGCTCAGCTTAAGTTAGGATCCCCAGTCTCTGATCAGCTAGCTACTGTCAGGGAATGTACATCCAGTCATGGGCATGGACCAATGTTCGGCATTACTGGTTATGCACTTCCCCTACCTCTAGTCTGGTGTTTTATCCATCGTAGATGACCTAGGCCTGTGCGGTCCTTGAGGATTGTTTTGCCCCATCCTCCATCTCTCTCCTCCCTTCACACAGCCATTATTATTAGAGACAGAGACCAAGTGGCCTTCTTGGCTCACTTTTCCCAAGCCCATGCTTTGGTCTTGTTTTCTGTGGATCTGAGCCTCCTGCTCTTTTTAAGTGTTAAATTTTTGTAATGTTTCTGCATGGTTATAGGTCTGTGATTTTTTTTAAAACTATTGAAAAATTCTAAATTTGGGCTAATTTCAGAACCTCTGTATTGACAACGTACTTAAGTACTTCTGTTTTATTTACTAACTTGACATACTCTTTGGAATGTCTAGCAAACAGATATATAGTTATTTCAGGCCAGGATTATGTCTTTTATATTCTACAGCATTCCTAATCATAAGGCATATATGAGGCAGTCAGTAAATGCTAGAATTACGGAAACAATCTTGAGATGTTTTAAACAGATCAGAAATGTGTGGGCTTTGTGATTGCTAACCAATTTCAATTGTATTAAAAATAGAGGGATGGGGCTCAGAGGAGTGGGAGGGGAAGTTCAGGAGAGAGGGGACTTATATGTATACTTACGGCTGACTCATGTTGTTGTATGGCAGAAACCAATATAACATTATAAAGCAGCTATCCTCCAATTAAAAAGTACATTTTTAAAGGTGGATCTTTAAGTTACTGGATCAGTTTCAAATAGTCTTTTCTGTAAGTATTTTTCATAGAAATTATTTTAATTCTAGTACTTTATATGCATAGCCAAAGAAATGAGGTTAAATGTAATGATCTCTATCATAATCTTTTGTTTTCTTTTTTGCTTTCTCAATCCTTCTCATGTCATCCTGGATCTTGGGCTATTAATGGAATGATTTTTGGATACTGTGAACTGCAGAGCCTATCGTGAAGAATGGCAGGCCTCCAACCTCGCACAGTATGCATTCCTTCCTCCACCAGTACACAGGGTCCTTTAAGAAGCCCCCATTGCGGAGACCACATAGCGTTATTGGAGGAAGCCTTGGTTCCTTCATGGCAATGCCCAGAAATGGAAGCAGATTAGGTAATTTATCTGTATTTTAAAATTTTTCTGACTGTGGCTTCTGTCCATAGCTAGGTTTCAGCTGTATGCAGGTCTGCCCACCTTTATTATCTAGTTTTTTCTTCTAAGGTAAAAATCAATAGGAGAAATAGGAATAGGAGGAAGAGCAGAAAACTGGAAGGTTCTGGAGAGGCAGTAGTGCTGACACTAGGAGGAGTAATATTTGAAAACCTGTTCACCAGAAAGAAAACAGAGCCCTTAAGAGGTAGATGTAAGATTTCAAGGTGAATAGCAGTTTGAGATGATGCCTAATTTTGGGTCACACTTCAGTAACTCTGGATCATCACTTTTTGATCACCAACTGCAATAGTTAGTATATATGATTATGATTATGAGTATATGTGATTATTACCTGAGTTATTCTTGTCTCTGTGTCACCTTAAATATCTAAGGAAACATAATGTCTGCAGGTTTCTATTTATTTCTCTGGTCTTTTTTTTTTTTTTGATGCTCTCATCATGTTTTGTTTTTTAAATAATTTTAAATATAATTACTTTATACACTTATTACATAATTGTATGTACTGAAGTTTCTGAAGGTTTTATTCTGCTTCTTTCTTTATCTACTTAATCTAGCCATGGTATCAACCCACAGATTATTTTCTTATGTGTTCTGTTAATTTTGGGAGGATGAGCTTGTCTACAGGGGTTTTTGTCTGTGTCTCAGACTGGTTCATGAGAGATGATTGTTAAATTTTCAGAAATTTTGCAAGCTGATTGTTAATCATAACCATTATTAAAATTTAAATTATATAAATTTACAGTTAAGTAAATAAAATTAAAAACAAAGGTAATAAATAACCAAAAGTCATTATTTCCTAATTATTTTACTACAGTTAACTGTTGCCTATGCTTTGGGGATATTTCTCCTGTATCTGTATACTCAAAAACACTAATGTCATGGTATCCATATTACCGAACTAGGTGTTCAGTGATACCATATTGGTAACTTGAGGTTAGCCACGAAGGGAGTATTTACCCTTACAGAAATTGGAAACCACTTCAAATCAGGGCTTAATTTATTGTTCTCTTGATTGTCTAGACTAGGGGTTGGCAAACGTTTTCTGTAAATGGTCAGGCAGTAAAAATTTTTTCAAATTTTGTGGGCCTTATATAGTCCGTTGCATAATCTTTTTAAAATAATCTGTTAAGGATGCCAAAACCATTTTTAGCTTAGGGCCGTACAAAAACAGGTCACATGTGCTGATCCTTGGTCTAAACTTAAAGTGATGTTAAAAATGTTAGTAATGCAGATTAAATTTGAAAGTGGGTTATGTCTGTAACTGTTAACATAGGGAATTACACAAAAACTGAAGCATTTGAGAAGTAATTTCTTAAGTAAGTTCTTCTATTAAGAATTATTGCCTGATTCAGAAAAAAAGTTGCTCATACTGGTGACAAATGAATGAAGTCTTTTGACATAAGGCTTCATTGCTTCATTGTTTTCTAATTGATGGAAGTGAAAATACCAACTGGTATTCATGTCAGAACTAGCTTGTTAGTGACATGAGGTGTTTCTTGGTTGAGTCAGATGCTACCAAGTATTTATTTACTCATAGTCTGAAATTGATAAACTCCTTTTTAGTCCTCATGTGGGAGAGCAGATTTCTGTTTTTAAGTCCACCTTTTACTGAAGATGTAGCTCTTTTGAAAGTTGCCTGCCTTTTTACAGAAAGCTCTCATTTGCAAGTGTGACACCCGAGGCTTCATCTTTTATTTCAGTGGTAGTGGCTGAATCCTAGCACACTCTTGCCAAGACCAGAAACCCCTCCCAAGAAAGTGACAGTCAATTTTTGCATAACAACTTTGGACCTTCAATTCTCTCTTTGTCTCTGCTTCCTGGGTATTAAGCATGCTTGTCAGGCAAACTCAGCTATATATTTTAAACTATATTCAACATTTTCTTGAGTAAGATTTGTAGATTTTCCTGGAAATGGAAGACACAATTAAATTACCTTTAACATTTTTTAAAGAGTGGTAGAAAAGAATGCTTGGCCATCAGATTAGGAATCAATCACCCAGTATATTGACTTCTACTGCCAAATTAATTTTTTGTTCAGTATAAAATTTCTCCAGAAATGTGTCATTAAACTATATTCTTAAATTACATATTGGTCTATTAAAAACCATTATTTTTGCAGCTGCTTATCAGTGTGAATAAGAATTTTCTCAATAATGTGTTACCAAGACAAAATACAGAAATGTATGAAATGTAAGACTGATTTGATGAGACCCTGGAATTCAGTTTTTTGTTAAATAGTTCTCTTATTTTTGTAAGTAAATAACTAGAAGTTCAAATTTGTAGTTGTGAAATACTATTCTTATTTATTTTATATGTTGATATTTCATATAACATTTCATTTGAAAGAAAAGGTCCAGTTATCTGGTCCATCCTTTGATTTTTTTCTTTTTCTTTTTTAGTTAATGTTTAATTCAGTGGAGTATTTGTTGAGCTGCTTACTAAACAAACTTAGTTTGGTTCTAGGAAAAGTGAATAAGTCAGATTATGCCCCCAAGGGATCTCATAGCTTGATATAAAATCACATGAACCAAAAACTGCTCTTCGATATAGTTGGTGTGCTAGGTGTGGGCACAGTGTGTGTTCATTTGTGTCTGAAAGTAGAAAAGACCTGATGACATATGAGCATATTGTCGAAGAATGGATTCACCACATTGATAAAATGAAGAAGTAATCTCTTACAGATAAGAAAAAACAAAAAGCTTGCTAAAGCACTTCAGTATGGAAGAACATGATACTTTTGGGGGAGTAAATAATTCTGTGGAGAGGACCCATGGAAAGAGATGTGTTTGAGATCTAGCATTTGTTTCTGGTGGGCTACTCTTGCTAGATCAATTAGAAGGTCATTGACAAATGTAAATATAAGAGCAACTGTAAAAGTGTACAAGTTTATTTTTAATATTCCCCAAAGGAGTTGATCTCCCTACCCTCTACTCCCATTTAACTTTTATTCCTTTTTTAAAAAATCATGATTTACCTTGCATTGTAAGTGAAATGTTTTTGCCCTCAGTAGATTTTGTGGTACTGTCTTTGTAGTTACACAAAGTCAGTACTCAGTGAATACTTTTTTGAATTTTTTTTTTAACACTTGGGGATGGGGAGCTACATTAGCAACTGTAAAAGTTTTTTAAAAGACTGTGCAATGAACCAGTTCATCTTGATATGACCCAATGGCACATTATTAAATGGAAAGAATACTAAACTAAATAAAAGATCAGGTTTCTATTTTGGCTCTGCCTCTAAGCTGTGTGACCTTTGAAAGTCATTTAACCTTCAAGTTCTCAGTTTCTAGATCTGGAAAACAAAAGAACTGACTAAATAATCCTCAAGTGTTATTTTGGTCTTTAATTTTATTATTCAACTCTTAGTAATAACTTGAATGTTAGTTTTTTAAAATAACTTTTTATAATCTTAGAGCATAAGAGGATTTATTACTACTGTTTTAGGACATTTGTCCTAAATGTGCAGTTTTTATTAACTGCACATCTGTGGTACCCAGAATGTAAAAGACCTTTTATGCTATGATTTTTGGCTGTTGGCTGTCTACATCTTATATGTAGAGATAATAAATTCTGTGATACTGTAGAATTTAATACATCTCTTCTAAGATAAATAATATTTCATTTTCTGATACAGATATTGTTCATGAAAATTTAAAAATGGGATCAGATGGTGAGAGTGACCAAGCTTCTGGGACATCATCTGATGAAGTCCAGTCACCTACGGGTGTTTGTCTTAGAAATCGTATACATAGGCGGATCTCAATAGAGGTACCATTTTTTTAAAAAAACATAAATATACCTGTGTTTGTGTGTATAAATGCATAAGAATAAGTGCCTATTTGAAAATTTTCATGACAGCAATGACACCTGTAAGAAAGTTGTTTCTTTGCTTTAATAAAAACTAGTCTTGTGAATATTTTTTCCTAATTATCTACTATACCAAGGCACATATACAGTAATTCTACTTAAATATTCTGCAAAATACTATGTAGAGTCTTTGTAAAGGAAATGTGAATTTTCAAAAGCTTCAGAAATCCAAGATGATACATTAGGGAAAGTCTTCCTTTTAGAAAATATTTTAATTTTTTTGAGATTCATCTAGGTACTTCAGATTTTATAAATATTTTCACATTTCAAAAAGTATAAAAGAAATAAGCACCAGCTTTTTTTCCTTGTTTTATAAATTATGAATATGGATATCACTTCCTTTTTTGGTTTATTATACCTACTAATGTCTGTAGCACATGTAAGTTACTTCTCCATGTAAAAGAATGAAAAGCTCATTTCCTTCTCTTTGTCAATGTTGTGTATAACCTCGAGGACAGAAGTTGATTACGAATATTATTATTTCCATATGTGTACTATAGATTAAAAATAATTTTCTCCAGAAAATTGAGCATGTTTTGAAATAAGAATGTTGTTATTTTTTTCAGTGCTGTTGAGGTATTGATGATTAGGGTATTTGTCGTCTTGGTTGATTGCGTTTTTGTTGATCAAAGATTGCTTCTGAATCAGTTACGCAAAACAATATCAGTTTTTAAATGGTAAAATACCATTTTCAACTCTTGAAATAAGCTTGATACCTGTTCATTGTTGTCAGTCGCTAGGTCGTGTCCAACTCTGGGACTCCGTGGACCACCGCACACCAAGCTTCCCTGTCCTTCACTGTCTCCCGGAGCCAACTGAAACTCATGATAACTGTTCATGTCACTGTATAAATTACATCACACTAGTAATAAAAATGTTTATTTCTCTTCATATGTATGATTCTATTCATTATAGGTTTAAAAGTTTTATTTAATACTAGGATCTATATCTGGACATTCTTATTCAACCATTGAGCTGTATTCTCCCCCAAAAGTGACACACTCTTGATTATTGTATACTTTAATATCTGGAAAGACCCCCACACCCACACATACATTTTTATTTATTTTAGATTGTTTTTGGATATTGCTTTCTATTTATTCTTCTAGCTAAATTTTAAATATTTTGTTTTGTTCCAAGAATAATCTTACTGTGATTTGTTTAGAGTCATGTAAAATATAAAACTAACTTGGGAGAATTATTATTTTCTCATCAGTTGAGAACATGATATATTTTGATACTTAATGGCATATATTTCTCAATAAATTTATATACAATTTCTTTACATCTCAATTTTATCTCCTGATTTATTATTAATAGCAGGGATTTATTTTTATAGGATTTATGTTTCTTGGTGTGATAATGTAGGCAGGACCTCTGTTTCTCTCAGTTCACATAATTAAATGAAATAGAAATACCTTTTACTTGTTTCCACTGACATAGCAATAATAAAATATTTCAATTATCTCACTGTATTGCATGCAAAATCATGCAATATCCACATGATTAGTTAGTTAAACCAACCCCATTTTATGGTAGACTTTGCCTATTCCTACCATATGGTATGCTACTCATGGGGTTCTCCTGGCAAGAATACTGGAGTGGTTTGCCATTTCCTCCAGTGGACCTTGTTTTGCCACAACTCTTTACATATAACCTGTCTGTCTTGGGTAGCCCTGCACGGCATGGCTCATAGCTTCATTGAGTTATGCAAGCCCCTTTGCCAGGACATGTGGGTCAGGAAGCAGCAGTTAAAACCGGACACAGAACAACTGACGGGTTCAGAACTGGGAAAGGAGCACAACAAGGCTGTATGTTGCCACCCTGCTTACTTAACTTATCTGCAGAGCATATCATGGGAAATGCCAGACTGAATAAAGCACAAACTCAAATCAAGATTGCTGGGAGAAATACAAGCAGCCTCAGATATGCAGATGGCAGCACCCTTATGGCAGGAAAACAAGGGTGAAAGAGGAGAGTGAAAAAGCTGGCTTGAAACTCAGCATTCAAAAAACTAAGATCATGACATCCAGTCCCATCAGTTCCTGCAAATAGAAGGGGAAAAAGTGGAAGCAGTGACAGATTCTGTTTTCTTGGGCTCCAAAATCACCGCAGATGGTAACTGGAGCCATGAAATTAAAAGACGCTTGCTTCTTGGAAGAAAAGCTATGACAAACCTAGACAGCATATTAAAAAGCAGAGACATCACTTTGCCAACAAAGGTCTGTATAGTCAAAGCTGTGGTTTCTCAGTAGTCATGTTTGAATGTGAGAGTTGTACCATAAAGAAGGCTGAGCGCTGAAGAATGATGCTTTCAAATTGTGGTGCTGGAGAGGACTGTTGAGAGGCCCTTGGACTGCAAGATTAAACCAGTCAATTCTAAAGGAAATCAACCCTGAATATTCATTGGAAGGGCTCATGCTGAAACTCTAGTACTTTGGTCACCTGATGTGAAGAGCTCACTCATTGGAAGAGACCCTGATGCTGGGAAAGATTGAAGGCAAGAGGAGAAGCGGGCGGCAGAAGATGAGATAGATAGCATGATCAACTCAATGGGCATGAATTTGAGCAACCCATGGGAGGTAGTGGAGGACAGAGAACCATGGCGTGCTGCCAGTCAACGGGGTTGCAAAGAGTCACACGACTTAGTGACTTAAAAGCAACTATATGGTATAATAATGTAAAAATTTATTCCATGCTGATTTTATCAATGAAGGGACTCAGCTCAGTTGTAGAACATCATTTCTGTAAAATAAACTGCACTGTATACTTTTGCTTACAGTAAATACATTTGCTTTCGGTATATTACATGCAGCTTCCCTCGTGGCTCAGACCATAAGGAATCTGCTTGTAATTAATGTCGATACCTTTGTAATTGCAACAAACCTTTGTAATTACTGATTGCTGAGAAATAATATATTAGGGCTCATGAATTAAAAAGTCAAATGCCCTTGTCATCTCTTGTTTGTGGTTACCTACATAGATTTTCTTTTTCTTGGTTTTTAAAAGGATTTAAATAAGCGGTTATCACTGCCTGCAGATATCAGAATACCTGATGGGTATCTTGAAAAGTTGCAGATCAACAGTCCACCATTTGATCAACCAATGAGCCGAAGGTCTCGGAGAGCTTCCTTAGTAAGTTTTTAAGTCTCTTATACCTATTATATTAGATCTGGTTGTTTGATTTTCTGGGCATAAACATTTTAAATTAATTTTTATATTGTTAATAATTATAGTTTATTACATCGTTTTCTGGATTTTGTCATTTTCCCTTCTTAACGTTTTAAAAATGTTATATTGAATAGAATTTAGGTTTATTTTATTTTTTGGTAAATTTTACTGATACGTACTAGATGTATAAAATATCTACCATGTACTATCATCATGCACTAGATACACAGAAAAGTACATAAACATAATTGTAGCGCTCCATGAATTTTTGTGAAGTTAGCATACTTGTGTAACTTGTACTCAGATAAATATAAGAAAATCCCCCAAATTCCAGAAAACTTGTCCTGCCACTTCATTGTTCACTTCCACCCTCCCTTCCTCAGCTTTGGCATTATCTCTGCCTTCTAATGCCAAAGATTAGTTTTACCTATAAGTTTTTCACTGTTTTGATTATGTTTATAGTGTCTTAATATAAAGAAAGACTTCTTTATCTTGACTTACTTACATTCTTATTTGAAAAATGCATTTGATATTCTTTTTCTGATTATTCTTAAACTTTTGAACTTTATGTAATTATGAATATACAAATGATTAAAGTACATTTTATACAAATATATTAAAATATGTTGTACAAATATATATGTATAAAATATATATACATACAAGTTTATATATATAGTATACAAAAATACCCTATTACATATAGAAGTACACCAATATGTAGTCCTCTGCAGTCGACTTCTTTTGTTTAGTGTTAGTCTCCTTTGGGTTATTGCATGTAGTTAGGTTATTCATTTGTTCTTTCTGTTGCATGGTGTTCCATTGGTGAGTATACTATATTTTATTCAGTCTTCTGTTGATGAATGTTTACATTTATGTTATTTTTAATTTTGGCTGTTATCAAAGACTGCTTCTATCACCATTCCTGATTATGTGTTTTGGTTAACACATGTATGCATTTCTGTTGGGTGCATACCTAGGAGTGGAGTTGTTGGGTAGATTGTGTGCAGATGTTCAGCTTTTCTAGGTATTGTCAAAGTTGGTTCCAAAGTGATTATACCGTTTTACACCCCATTCTAGTTGCTCTCCATGATTTTTTTTTTATATTGTTTCTTCTTTTTCAAAGAAACTTAAATTTTTCTGATGAGTGTATAGTGTTATCTCATTGTGGTTCCCCTGAAGTAGAAAATGGCAACCCACTCCAGTATTCTTGCCTGGAACATTCCATGGACAGAGAGGAGCCTGGTGGGCTACAGTCCACGGGGTCGCAGAGTCAGACACGGCTGAGCATTCATGCATTGTGGTTTTATTTTTCACTTTCTTGTTGGCTTAAGTTGAACAGCTTTCTAATGTTTATTGGCCATTTAAATATCCTCTTCTTTGAATTAATTGTTGAATTCTATTATTTCTTTTCTGTTGGGCTGTCTGCCTTTTTCTGATTGATTTGTGAGGAATTCTTTATACAGTCTGTATAAAATTCTTGTCGGTTTTGTATCTTGGCCTCCCATCATGTAGCAGGTGACCCAGCACTGCTTTTTGAAAGAATAGCTTTCCTTGTTGCAGTGTCATCTTGACATAAATTCAGGTGATTGTGTATGTGAGGATCTCTTGGATGACTTTAGTTCTATGGTAGAAGTGTATATAAAGTGCTATGGGACAGTTACAGAAACAGCAAGTAAAACGTATTTGCACATCACAGGCTTACAGAGGTGATAGTGCTTAAGTTGGCTCTAAAAAGATGGGTAGAAATTTTGTCAAGTTGACAGTTATTAGAAGAGCGTTCTAAGCAAAGGAAACTTCATGTAGTAAAATCCAGAGAATGAGTATGTTGGGAAGATTATAATTGATATGAAGGGTGGATATGGAATAATTTTAAAGAATAAACCTTGAAAGTATAGGATAGATCTAGACCAGTGGTCCGCAACCTTTTTGGCACCAAGGACCAATTTAGTGGAAGACCGTTTGTCCATGGACGGGATTGGGGGGTGGTTCATGCAGCAGTGTGAGCTGTGGGGAGCGGTAGATGAAGCTTTGCTTGCAGCCGCTCACCTCCTGCTGTGGGGCTGGGCTCCTCACTGTTTGGGGACCTCTGCTGTAGACTGCAGAAAGCTTCAGCTGTTAGGCCATTGAGTTTGGACTTCATCCCATGTAAAAAGAAGGACCTCAAAGACATTCATTTAAACAAGGGCTACCATAATCACATTTTTGTTTCATAACTGTTGCTTCAGGAAAAGTGTTAACAAATAGAACAAGAGAAAGACTAGAGGCAGGGAAATGAATTAGGAATTTATTCATAGTTAAGGATGATGTGGCAGTCCTGTGGAAATGGAAAGTAGAGCCCAGATGCTAGGGACTGTGTAAAGATAAAATACTCAGGACTCAGGACCCACTTAGTACTAAGAAGGAGGAGAAGGGGGCCGACAGAGGATGAGATGGTTGGATGGCATCCCCAACCCGGTGGACATGAGTCTGAGTAAGCTCCAGGAGTTGGTGATGGACAGGAAAGCCTCACATGCTGCAGTCAATGGGGTCGCAAAGAGTCAGACACGACTGAGCGACTGAACTGAGTGAGTACCCACTTAAACTTTGGGTCTGAAGAAGGAGCCATTGATGAGTATTGGGTCACTAACAGTTGTTATATCTTCTTCTTATATATTGTATCGTGGAATATTTTTATCCACCAACAACTTCTCTTTTGGTTGCATTTTCTAAAGAATAAAATTACCTAATGCTGTATAATATGAGCACATTACTACTTGACATTCACCAGTATACAATAAGGTTAAAGCTTGATTTTGGTATAGGTTTATGATCATCATAGTTTTACATCACTGCTTAAGACATTTTCATTAACATAACTTTGTCATTTAATTACCAGGTTGAAAGTGTTCTTTAGTTACCAAGTTTTACTAAAGATTGGTACTTAGGATAAATTCTAGAATTAGTAAATATTCAGATTGGGACTAAAGGTATGGTTTAATCACCAAAGCTATCATCTAAGACTTATCTTTCTCAGTGTACATGAAATTAAGGAAAACAGTGCCCTCTAATGAATGTTGAGTGACTGGAGTTTTTATTGTGTTGAATATTCCTATCTTAATTCACTTGTTTTTTTAATCTGAAATGGCTTACCGATTTCACATTAATCATTGCAGCTCTGTTTTGGTTTTCATTGGTTCATTCTTTTCATTGTTTATCTTTTTTTGTTGTTGTTGTTACTAAAGCCATGGTTTCTTTTGAAGTATATTAGAAAATTATTCTTAATACCTTAGGTTTATATGCAAAGGGGAAGGTTTAGGGAATCCATGGAAAGGAAATGGGAAGACGAAAATACTCTTCACATTTGTTAGAGCTTATGTTTCCGTGGATGATATACTCTTTATCCTAAAAACATTTTTGTTTCAAGAAAAAATATAATATTTTGTCTTTCTAAAAGGATAAACTTTTTTTTTTCTTTTTTTAACTTTAAACTTTTTATTTTGTGTTGGGGTATAGCCAGTTAACAATGTTGTGGTAGTTTCAGGCAAAGAGCAAAAGGACTCAGCCATACATATACATGTATCCCTTCTCTCCCAAACCCCTCTCCCATCCATGCCGGTACAACCTTGAGAGTTCCATGTGCTTTACAGTAGGTCTTTGTTGGTTATCCGTTTTAAACATAGCAATGTGTACATGTTTATTTTTGTATGTTCAGTTTGCAACGTATAATAAGTAGAGTAGTAAAAATAACATAAATCACTTGAGTAGGAGGTAAGAAACAAGTCTGAGTTCACTTCTGGTGAATACACAGTAGGCTGACTGGTTCTTCCATAAGTTTACGAGCATCAACGTGGTTGGATCCTCAGTACATTTGGCTGCCCTGTTGCGTTGCATTTCTTTGGTTAGTTCTTCTCTCTTCCCACTAAGTGACCAAGAGGAGAGAAGCCACCAACCAGAGACCCTCTCATTTTCTGAATTACAGATGTGCAAATCTACCTACAGCAAACTAATTCTACTCTAATAAGTTATTTCAGAGTAGTTATAGATCTACAGAAGAATTTAAAAGATCATATAGAGAGTTCCCACATACCACATACCTAGTTATGCCTATTATTAACATTTTACATTACTTTAGTACATTTGTCACAACTAAGGAAACCAGTGTTGGTACATTACTATTAACTAAACTCCATACTTTATTCAAATTTCCCTAGTTTTTCACTAATAGCTTTTTATCCCCAGGATCCCATCCAGGATATCACATTACATTTAGTCATTCTATCTTATTTTAAAGATACTGGTTATTGGATTGGTAAAGTGTTACTTAATATTCATTTATAGGTGATAAGAAACAGAATATTCTAACTCTTGAAATGCTTAAACCACTGACTAGTGGGAAAGCCCGTAGGCAGGTAGTGGTTTATCAGAGCGTTGTTACATTTACAGTGATGTCATGCCCCATGGAGATTTCCTGAGTGTTAAGCTCAACTTGAGTAAACTAAGTCTATATAGGAACGTTTGTCTCATTTTATTGAAGTTTAGGTTATATGAATTCTAAGAATATGCCTCTTCCTAAACATTAAGTTTTGGGTTCCTTATTTATGGCTTTACCAGTATAGATCATACATAACCATTATTTCTAAGGACAGGTGAGAAAATAGGGTATCAAGTCCTGATGTCTATCAGAAGTGATTTTATGGTGTGGAAATGAGGTTCAAAGTTCACCCACAATTTAATTTACCTATGGCATATTATGGACAGGGGTAAGGTAGTATTTTGTAAGACAAATGATCAAGTAGAATAGAGATTCTCAGTCTACCTACCTCAGTAGACTGACATTTCTATCAGTAACAGTAACTTGGTAAATCTCACAAGGGGGGAAATGTATAACTGAAAAATCTGTCTTTGCTCCCGGTGTTTTTTATATGCACATTCACTCTTAGAATGACATCTAATAGAGCTTTTGCACATGTTTCAGTTGTTTT